GCAGAAACAGGAGCATAGGACTCCTGGATCACCCATGAGAAGCATCTTTCAGACTTCAGGGAAGATGGTGGGTATATTTCCCTACCCCTGAGCCAGTAGTCTGAATCTGTCTGGGATTTTTCCCTGAACTTGGCTGGGTGGAGCCCCTAGTGGGCCTGTGGGTGGGTCCTCCAGAGTCTAGATTTTGGGTCTTCAGGAAACCAGGCAGGTGTTTCTATGACTCACCCATGAGAGGGATGCACCAGTCTGGTTCCCAGAAAGTGTATAAAATGGCTGTGCCCTAAAGTCAGTGTCTGACATCCCCTGAGTCTGCTTATATTGGTATCTCATCAGTAGTGGTTAAGAATCGGAATGGGAGAAAAAGAAGAAAAAAACTCAAACAAAACAAAACAAAAGATACAGGGTAGGATGAGCATGATTCCAGAGGGTGGGGCAAGCGGCATTCAAGAAGATGGGGCCAGCAGTATTTCACAGGATAAGATAATTGCTTTTCCCCTGGGAGGGGCTTGCTCTTCTCAGGAAAGATGACTGCTGCAGTGTCCAGGTATCCCAGCTCGGGAATCCCCACAGCACACCTCCCCTCCAGCCCATCTCTCCCTAGTGACTCCCACTCCAGACTCTTCTCATGCAACTCCAGTCAGCACCACTTGCTCTTTGCTGGAGCTCAAGGTGAATGGCTGCAAACACAAAACCTGTGCTTTGGCCTCTTTAAGAAAAAAATAGTGGCTTTGTCTTCAGTGGGCTCTGTCTCTCCCCAGCAGACAGTGCTGCCTTTCACCACTAGATGCTACATCCTGGCTGATCCTGACACTAGCATTCTGTGTTTGGGACAGGTAGGGTCTCACTTCTCTCCTCTCAAGGAGAAGGTCCTACAATCATGCTGCAACCTTGCCTGCCACCTTTGTGAATAGAACTGGCCCCTTTTATGTCCCCACCTTTCCTACCAGTCTTGGGTGGTTTTTGCCCATCCTTGGTTAAAGGTCTCTTTTTCGGGCATTCTTCGGTTTATTTTGGATAATTGCTCCCTTCTTTAGTTGTACTCCCAGGTTGGTTCTAGGGGGAGAAGCAGGACATATCCTCCTACTCTACCGCCTATTGTGACCCAGATAAGTATGTTAGTGCAGTTGTTACAAATATCTTCCATATTGTTAAGGACTTAAAAAAATATGACTATAAAAGAAAAGAATTGGAAGATAGAATAAAGAAGCACACGGAAATTTCGTAAATAAAAGATGCAATAACTGATGGAGTCAACCTAAGTGTTCGTCAAGGATGAATGAATAAAGAAGAAGTGATATAAATATATGCAATACGATGCTATTCAATCATAAGAAGAAGGAAAAACCAATATTGCGACCACCTTAAGAGCATTATGCTAAGTGAAATAAGCCAGACAGAGAAAGAAAACATTTTATGATCTCACTTATGTACAGAATCTTAAAAAGCTGAGCTCATAGAAATGAAGAGCACAATGATGGTCATAGAGGTTGAGTGTGGGGGAAGTGGGAAGCCCCTGGTCCAAAGACTACAAACTTTCATTTATAATATTATTAAGGTTAGGATAACCTAATGTACACATAGCAATTATAGTTAATATTAATGTATTATATACTTGAAAGTTGCTAAGAGAGTAGATCATAGCTGATCTCATAAAAAATAAATGGCAATTATACAAAAAGAAGGAGGCATTAGCTAAGCTATACTGGTAATCATTCTGCAATATGTAAGTGTACAATGGTACGGAGGTGGGGAGCACTGGGGGAGTGAGCTGGGATGGGAGTAAAAGACAGAAAACTGTACTTGAACAATAATTAAATAAAAAAACCCAAAAGAGAAATATATATATACATAAGTGTACCAAATCAACACAGTGCACATCTTAAACTTACATAATGTTACCAGTATATATCAATTACAACTTAATAAAGCTGGAAAAAATAAATGTAAAAATGTGTGATGGCTAGTGACAATTATAAAAATATAATATCTGAATTGAAAATTTCACTGGATAGGATTAATAGAAGGTTGAACTCTGCAGAAGAAAAATCAGTGAATTTGGAGACATGTTAATAGACTATATGCAAAGTGAAGCACAGAGAGTAACATGAATGAAAATAAATTAACAGGAATCTACAGAATAATATCGAGCAGTTAACACAGGTGCAATTGTAGTTCTAGAAGAAGGAGAAGGGGAAATACTTAAGAAATAATAGCTAAAATATCTCCAGATTTGATGAAAAACTATAAAATCACAACCTGATACCACTATATACCCAGTACAAAATATTAAAATTAAGTAGGCAGATACTATCAAATACTGAAAAATATATGGATGGCCTGAAATTTCACACATTGTTGATAGAAATATAAAATACAACAATACTTTGGAAAACTATTTGGCAGTTTTAAAATAAAATTAAACATTATCTTACCATATGACCTAGCAATTCTACTCCTAGGTATTTCCCTAAGAAATTAAAACAAATGTCCACACAAAGACTTGAATGCAAAAGTTCATGGCTTTATTTGTAATAGCCCCAAACTCAGAACAACCCAAGTACCCACCGCCAAGTGAATGAACAAAGTTGGTGGTGTATTCCAACAATGATATTACTCTGCAATACAATGGAATGAGCCACTAGCCCTAATATGGATGCATCTCAAACACAACATGCTGTGTCCAAAAAGGGGCAGAAACAAGAGAATAAATACTATATAATTATATTAACCTAAAATTCTAAAAAGTAATCTAATATGTTGTGACAGAGAATAGACTATGTTTTGCCTGGGACCAGGATGTAACTGACTGGAGCAGGGGCCCAAGAATTTTGTGGACTAATGAAAATGTGTTGCACAACTGTGCTGGTGGTTACATAGGCATAAAAATTTGTCAACACTCACTGAAATGAAAACGTGTGTTCATTTTATTTTATGTAAACTACACTTCAGTGAAAGTGATTGTTAAAAATTAGTAGCTTTCATACATGACTGAAAAAACTAACTAGAAAATGTTATGAAAAAATTTCGTCTCCAACATCAATAAAAACACAAAATATCTAAAAACAAAACTATGAAATAGTCTAGATTTTTATAAAAATTAAAACACTAGTGTTTAAGATAACACCTGAATAATTGGAAAAATGTTACACATTTGCACATAAAAGATTCAACATTATAAAGATGTCATTTATCCCTCCAATTAACTTATTAATTTAGTTCTATGTCAATTAAAGCCCTCCCAGGATTCTTCATTTGACAGAGTCTAGAATGAAAAACCAAGTCAATATAAAAAAAACATTGTTTTTGTGAAGGTAAAATGATTAAAACTATAATGGTGACACAAAAATAGATAAAATAAATTGGAAGAAAACAATACAAAGAGTAGAAACAAATTTGTGGGATTTATTACATGGTAGAATTGACATTTAAAATCAGCTTGGGAAGACAGGACTTTTCTGTAACAGTGTTGAGACTGTTACCTATTCATGGGGAAGAGAGTACAGCCAGATCACCTCACACACTACATGCTAGCTGTTCAAAAGAATTTTAAAAATTGCACTTAAAAGTAATAAGAATAAAATATAGGCAAATATATTCATAATTATTGGGTAAAAAGATATTTTGAATGGTTCATATAAAGTCATCATAAAGAGAATTTGATAACATTAAAAACTCTGTATACCAAAAGCAGTTATGTTCTGACTCCCACTATTTTGATTTCAAGGTCAAGTAAATGGCTTTATGCATTGAACCCTCTATCTGTTGGAAATAATCTTTTTTTTAGATTAAAAAGGTCACCATAAGGGAAGTTAAATATCTGGTGGTGCACTGGGACAAGATATTTGCAACACCTATAACAGACAAAGATTTGATATAATGAGTAAGAAAGAAAAATAACTCAACAGAAAAGCGGACCATGGATATGAACAGGTTAGTCACAGATAGGAGATATGATTGACACAAAAATATGTGAAACAATAGTCCCTTTTCTATGGAGATGGAGAAGCCTGGAATATTATTTCTAGAGGTCTAGAATGCTATAAAACTCTTAAGAGTTGTCACTTTGGGTAGGGGCACGGGCAGTAGGATTTAGAGGCACGGTCAAAAGACTTTTTACTTTTACTCGAAAAGTTCTAATTTTTCAAAAGGAAAATACATTTGGGTATTTTATAATAAAATGTAATTAAAAATTAATTGAATATGGCAGTAAGTATAAGGGGTGAACTTTGCTATAAATTTCACCCAAACAAATATATGGAAGCAAAAGTTAAGTGGCTGGAAAAATGTAGAGGAGTTCAGGATACAGAGATAGGATGGCAGACTATTATTCTGAAGGATTTGGACATGAAGAAAAATGGATGTTGGAAAGTAATAGATGGGATATTGGATGTAGGGAAAGTTAGTTGTTTATTTTTTTGTTATAACATTTACATCAATACAAAATCTCTCACATGTATGTATAGATAATACATACATGATATAGTGTCCATGATATAGCTGGAAACAGATAGCTTACGCTAGGGCAAGAGTAAAAGTTTTGAAGAGGAGGGAAAGAGATTCAATGAAAACTTAAAAAGTGCTGAAAGAGTGTTACGGACATAGAAAGGGCATTCAAGATAAAATGGAGAGATTATTTTTATCGACATTCTACAGAACATTATACACCACATGTATGTATTATTTATACATACATGTGGTGTATAAGGGAGAGGCCGTTAGATAGGTTAAAAATAGAGATAGATTACAACATAAGAGAGATTGAATAAAGTGATGAAGTGAATTATCTTGGCATTAAACATTTAGGGACTATGCATGTTTGTCAAAGATATGGGAGATTTAGAATATAATTCTGCTTTTGACCAACCAATGTCCAGGGATTTCTACCACTGTGAAAATAATTTTAATGAAAAGCTCGTCTATTCAGTACTCTGAACATATCAATAATTTTAACCAAGCATCCTTAACTAAATGTTTTCATAGAGAAAATGAGGAAAAGTTACCCTAATAGAAATCCCCATTGCCAGGGAAAATTCATAAGGAAGTGGGAAACGACAGCAGCTGCACAGGCTTCCATGAGGCAGGGACCCACAGACAGTCTTAGACAAACCTTCCTCAAACGCTTCAGAGCCTGAAATACAAACACAGTCAGATTTGGAGAAAATTATCGTGGCCAGCAAGAAAATAATTTAAGGAAATATTAAAATATACTTAGTTGTTTACTAAACTCAATCTTCCTGATTATTCCATTAGGCTTGACATGCTAATACAGATAATTTTATGTGTCATCATAGACTGGATGATAAAGTTTGCATGTTTTAAAAAACATTGTTATATTTTAATTGTTAATAAGGATTTGTTTCTTTGTGATTAAATAATGAGTTCTACCCTCCTTGATCTTCCTAATAAATAGTATAATGAAAGTACAGGTATATATCCACCAGTTAACTTTCAGACATGAACTGTTTGATTAACTTAATAATTGTAAATAGAAAGTATTAACATGAAAAAGGAGAAAAATCACTTGAAAACTGCATAATTAACTAAAAGGGAGAACTTTTAATTTTTTTAATTGGTTCAAATTTTCTACTGGAGAATATAATAAATTATCACGGTTTATAATTATTCATGCTATTGATATATTATACCACTAAACATACATTTGCCACATCTATTTGAGAAGCTGTTATGCGACTCTTTAAAAAATCCAAATAGATTTATAATCCATTAGCTTTTACAATTATGCAAAGATAATCAGGAACAAAGACATAAATAAAAATATTATTGAAATTCTTAATCTCTCTGAAAAAATAAAACAAAACAGAAGCAGATCCTTTTATGGTGAAGGGTGACCTTATCCTTTGTTACCTAAAAAGCAAGTAGTTCTCCATAGAAGAGCCACAACTCCCAAATAATACTTACAAATGCTGCACAAGGGTCATCAATCTCTACACAAACAATTAAAGGATATTTTTAATGGAGATCTTACATTCTAGTGATTTCTTTTCATATCAGTAATAATGAAGACAAGAGGTAGAAATTAAGGTGTCAACACTTCTGCAAACTTTTGTTTTTTATTTTGGTTTTATTCACAGACACTACTTGAAACAGCCACAACAAAAATTCTTCCTCTTTTTCATTTTATCAGCCTCTAATATTTAAAGTTACTTTACTCATGTTACAATTAGAAATTTACCTGTGGATCAAGTCCAAGTCCAGCTTTTACTAGGATAAGGGTAAGGGCAGAATTTCTTAAAGTTGAAGACCACTTGTTGCTAATGTGGACGAACTTACTGAACAATGGAACATTTCTGATGGTAAAGCCAGCCAGTAACATCCCTTCAAAAACAAACAAACAAACAAACAAACAAACAAACCAATAAATAAAGTCTGATTCAGTTCATTTTATTCCAACAGAGAAAACAGAAATGTTCAATTTCCCATGTTCAAACACACTATATTTTTCATTACTTTGGTGAAGGGCAAGTTACACAACACAAGTGGAGGAGACAGCATAAAGAAGGAGACAGAAAAGTGATATATCTCAATGGGGAAAAACTAGTAATCCAGTGATGATGAAACACAAAGGGCAAGGATCAGAGTCGGAGAATGAACAGGAAGCATCAGATTGTTAATAGCTAACCCGACTAGACAGTCACCTGTTTTAGCTGAGTAAGGCATAATGGGAAAGTTTTAAGCAGGAAGTGAGATAATGAACCTTGTATTTTCTATGTGATGACCTTGGTGAATTAGAGAGACATAAAATTGGAGGAGAGGCCAATTAAAAGCCTCTGACACAGTCCATGATATAGCTGGAAACAGATAGTTTTCGCTAGGGCAAGAGTCAAAGTTTTGAAGAGGAGGGAAAGAGATTCAACAAATACTTAAAAAGTGCTGAAAAAGTGTTATGGAAAGGGTGTTCGAGATAAAATGGAGAGATTATTTTCATGTACATTCTACAGAACACTTGAATATATTGAATGTGTAGAAGATATGAGACACCTCTGATAGAACTTCTTCTATGTATTTTCCTCTGTCCACCTGGATAGTTAGTTATGTACTAAAGGGATGAAGAATAGGGTATGACCCTGGTTAGGCAGATGATGTATCTATGGATACACATAATGAAGATGCCCAAACACCTTACTCAAAAACCATGAGACTTTTTGGTGCCTCAGATACTATAATATTTGAATCTTGTAATTGTATATGAGTTAGGTTATCTACAGAAAAATTCAGTCTTTTCCAAAATTTCCCTTTTCTATAATACATTTAAAATTAAGTAAAAAGTATTCTATTAAATGATAAAGCAACAAGAATCATAAATTGAATATATTTAAATTATTTTAAAATATTTTAGAAAAATATCTGGAGATATATATGTATAGAGAGAATAAATATTTCTATAAATGAGCTATATATACACATATACAGTACATACACATAGAAAGAAGCTATATAAATAGTATTACATTAAAACATTTCTAAATTATATTTACTTTGACTAGCATACATGCATAATTTACATATAAGTGAATAAAAAAGAAATTAGGGCTAATTATACCCTTACCAAGGAGAGGTGGAAGTTGAGGCACTGATGGTATTTTAATGAGTTCCAAAAGTTTGCCCCCCATTATGGCGCTATAAAAGGTAATTAATAGTCCAAATAAATTTCCATCAAAGAAAACGTGAGGGCCCGAGACTGACCAGACTGCACACCATATCGTAACATGTAAAACTCCTGAAATACAAAAAATCTATATGTATATACAGACATATACATCTAAATGATAATTCTATTTTATCAAATATCCTATGAATAGCCTGTCTTATCTAATGGTACATAGTGTAGACCATCGATTCGCGACTGGTACGCCATAAGAATTTTTTAAACCTGCAATACTAGACTACTTAGTCAGGGGCACTGGCCTCTTTTCCCTTAGATCAGGGGTGTCAAACTCATGTTCACCAGGGGCCACATCAGCCTCTCGGTTGCCTTTAAAGGGCCAAATGTAATTTTGGACTGTATAAATGTAACTACTCCTTAACAGTTAAGTGAGAGCTCAGCACTGCCGCCGGGTAGAAACAAGGTGCTGGGCAGGATAAAACACGGTGGAGGGACGGATTTGGCCTGAGGGCCCTGTGTTTGCCTGTGCCTGAAATTGCCGAATGAAAAAAAAATGACAACAGCCAACCCAATAATAGCCATCTGGTGTGAATGCCTTGTCTTGAACCATAAGTATATAGATCACATAATAGATTTGCATCTAACTGGTCACATTACATAATAAAATTGCACACTATTGGTTAACTCTTGATACCAGACTTTCTCACAAAAAAGTATAGGCACCTGATTTTTTAAAAAGTCACTTTAAAGTGAAAAGGGTACTATTGTTTTTATTTTTTTTGTAAATCAGTCAAAATTATACCTATTTTTGTCAGACTGGCAAAATATGTATATTTTTGGTGTGCCACTGGATTTTAGCAATGTTTACATGTGACAGGTGAAAAAGTTAAAAATTATTGGTGTAGACTAATGTTGCTTGTTAATTGAGTTGAGGAAATATCTGTTGAACATATATTCCAAAATCCCTGTCAATTTATGGGACGTTATAAACAAAATTTTTCATTTAAAAATATTTTAAAACTATATGTGCATCCTTTTAAGTTCTAAATATTTCTCACAGTATATGACATTTTAAAAATGTCATGGCAATATGAAATTTACTTCACTTTATATCTTGAAGGAGATTTTCCATCAAGAATAAGATGATGACTGGCTGTTGTAAGTTCTCAAATTTATGGAAGATCTCAGTCGCAGGGTGTCAAATTTCTTAACAGGAGCAGAATAAATCTTTGTATTGAAATTATAACTCAGTCGCTATTTGGCATAAATTATTAAAGGAGGTAAGGGCTGGAAAAAGTGAAACCGAGTTTGGGGATGACATAAAGTACCTTAGTTATGTATCGGAAGCAGAGGTGGACAAGGTGAGTAAGGACAAAGTAGTAGACATCTTATTTCTGGCAACTAGATGCAAAGGAAAGGCCCTACTAACAGTGAAATGCATAGGTTTTTATTTTTTAATCTAACATAAGTACTTTATTTTTTTTAATGAATCTATGGGAGTGATATTGCTTAATCAAATTATATAGGTTTCAGGTATACAATTCTATAACTTATTGTCTGTATAGTGAACATTGTGTGTTCACTACGCCAAGTCAAGTCTCCTTCCATCACCACCCACGCCCGCATTATCCTTTTTTATCTCCTCCACCTGCTTTCCTTCTAGTCATCACTATACTGGTGGCTGTGACTATGAGGGTTTTTTTCTTAATCTTTTCATCTTTGTCACCCAGTCCCCAACCTGCTCTCCCCTCTGACAGCTGCCAGTCTGTTATATGTATTGTATCTGTATTGAGTCTGTTTCTGTTTTGTTTGTTAGTTTTTGTTGATTAGATTCCACATATAAGTGAAATCATATGGTATTTGTCTTTATCTGACTGGCTTATTTCGCTTAGCACAATACTAACCAGGTCTATCCATACTGTCACAAAAGGAAAGATTTCCTTCTTTTTAAACAGCGGCATAGTATTCAATTGTGTAAATGTATTGTGGCTTTTTGATCCATTCATCTGCCAATGGGCACTTGGGCTACTTTCAAATCTTGGCTATTGTAATAATGCTGTAATGAACACATGGCTACATACATGTATATTCTTTTAAATTAGTGTTTCAGGTTTCTTCATATATATATTCCCAGACATAGAATCACTAGGTGATAAGACAGTTCTATTTATAATTTTTTGAGATAACTCTATACTGTTTTCCACAGTGGCTGCACCAGTCTGCATTCCCACCAACAGTGCACAAGGGTTCCCTTTTCTACACATCCTCAACAGCATTTCCCGATTGTTGATTTATTGATGATAGCCATGCTGACAGGTATGAGGTGGTATCTCTGTGGTTTTACTTCGCATGTCTCTGATGATTAGTGACATAGATATTTATAAAGATGGATAGTTACACTGCAAATTGCCATCTGTGAATTAAATGGCTACATTTAGTTACTATAAATAATAATTTCTAATCCTTTTTCAGGTTCTTTAAACAGCTTAAGCACATTCTTTCTCTGTGACCCCTTTTGGATCCAGCAATTCCACTTTTGGGTATTTATATAAAATAAGAAGGAAAGAACACACCAACTGAAAAACAGATGTGTACTACCATCTTCACTGCAGCATTACTTACAATAGCCAAGACATGGAAATGACCTATGTGCCTATTAATGAATAAAAGGATACAGAAAATGAGGTGTATATATAAAGTGGAATATTATTCAGTCATAAAAAGAAGAAAAGTTTGTCATTTGTGACAAAATGGATTGACTTTGAGGGCATTATGCTACGTGAAAGTCAGAGAAGGACAAATACCGTACAATCTCGTGTGTGGTAGGTATATAAAAAACAAAACCGAGATCATAATACAGAGAACAGATTGCCGATTGCCAGAGGCATGGGGTGTGGGTGGTGGAGGAAATGGGTGAAGGAAGTCAAAAGGTACATACTTTCAGTTATAAAAAATAGATAGGTCATCACGCATTTTAAATCAAAAGCTAGAAATGATTAAGCTTAGTGAGGAAGGCATGTAGAAAGCTGAGATAAGCTGAAGCTAGGCCTCTTGCACCTAACAATTAGGCAAGTTGTGAATGCAAGGAAAAAGTTTTTTTAAAAAAAGATTTCTATTTATTTATTTTTAGAGACAGGGGAAGGGGGTACGAGAGGGAGGGAAACATCAGTGTGTGGTTGCCTCTTGCACGCCCCCTACTGGGGACTTTTACTGGGAATCCTTTGGCTCACAGGCTGGTGCTCAATTCACTGAGCCACACGAGCCAGGGCCAAAGCAAAAGTTTTTGATGGAAACAGAAAGTACTGCTCCAGTGAACATGCAAATGGTAGGAAAGTGAAACAGTTTTATTGCTGAGATGAAAAAAGTGTTAGTGGTCTGGGTAAAAGATCAAACCAGCCGCAGCATTCACTTAAGCCAAAGCCTAATGCAGAGCAAGCCTCTAATTCTCTTCAGTTCTATAAAAGCCGAGAAAGGTGAACAAGCTGCAGAAGAAAAGTTTGAAGCTAACTAATGTTGGTCATCTAGTTTAAGGAAAAAGTGCTGATGTAGAAGCTGTAGCAAGTTACCCAGAAGATCTAGCTAAGATAATGCAGGTGGCTACACCAAACAACAGATTTTCAGTGTAGATGAAACAGCCTTATAACCAAAGAAGATTCCTTCTAGGCCTTTCACAGATAGCGAGGAGAAATCAATGGCTGGCTTCAAAGTTTCAAAGGGCGGGCTGACTCTTTTGTTCAGTGCTAACACAGAGGATGACTTTAAGTTGAAGCCAATGCTCATTTTTCATTCCAAAAAATCCTAGGTTCTATAGGAATTATGCTAAATCTACTTCTGCCTGTGCTCTATAAATGGAACAAAGCTACAATGATAGCACATCTCTTTGTAACATGCTTTATTCGATATTTAAGCCCATTATTGAGACTTACTGCTGAAAAAAGTTTCCTTTGAAAATATTAGTGCTCATTGACAATGCAGCTGGTTACCCAACAGTATGATGGAGATGTACAATGAGATTAATGCTGTTTTCATGCTTGCTAACAGAACAACCATTCTGTTGCCCATGAACCAAGAAGTAATTTCTATTTTCAAGTCTTATTAAGAAATACATTTCATAATGCTATAGTTGCCATAGATAGTAATATCTCTAGTGGATCTGGGCAGAGTACATCAAAAACCCAGAAAGGATGCACCCTTCTAGATGTTATTAAGCATATTTGTGATTCATGAGAAAAGGTCAAATTATCAATATGAATAGGAATTTGGAAGAAGTTAATTCCAATCCTCATGGATGACTTTAATAGGTTCAAGACTTCAGTGAAGGAAGTAACAGCAGATGTGGTAGAAATACCAAGAGAACTAGAATTAGAAGTGGAGCCTGAAAATGTGACTGAATTGCTACAATCTCATGATAAAACTTTAATGGATGAAAAGTTGCTTCTTATAAATGAGCAAGGAAGGTGGTTTTTTGAGATGGAATCTACTTCTGGTGAAGATGCAATGAAAATTGTTAAAATGACAACAAAGGATTTAGACTATTACACACACTTAGTTGACAAAGCAGTGGCAGAATTTGACAGGATTGACTACAGTTTTGAAAGGAGTTCTACTGTGGGTAACATCCTACCAAACAACACCACATGCAACAGAAATTGTTTGTGAATGGGAGTCTGGGTGATGAACACAGAATACAGTGTACAGATGAAATATTGTAGAATTGTGCACCTGAAACCTGTTTAATTTTATTAATCAGTGCCAATAAATTTAATAAAAAGGAAAAAGGAAAGGGTCAATTTATGTTGTAGCCTTTATTGTTATCTCACTTTAGGAAATTGCCACAGCCACCCCAACCTTCAGCAACTGATCAGTCAGAAGACACCAAAATCAAGGCAAGATCCTCCACCAGCAATAAAACCATGACTTGCTAAAGGTTCAGATAATAAGACTTTTTCAGCAATAAAGTATTTTAAATTAAGGTATTTACATTGATTTTTAAAAGACATAATATTATTGCACACTCAATGGGCCACACAGTGCAGTCTAAACATCACTGTTCACGAGCACCGAGAAATCAAAAACTTCGTGGGACTCGCTTTATTCTTTGCTTTATTGCAGTG